CAGACATAATGAGATACGATTTTCTCTTTTAAAAAGGGCAGTTGTTTGCATGAAGGAATGTGGTAACAGGATTCAAAGGCAACATGCCGAACTAACAAGGATTAAGCCTAATGATTTGCCCTGGTTCTTGGAGAAGGAACAGGATATAGGTTTTTCATAGGAAATGATGCTGTAGCAAGGGGGGAATCCAGAATTGGTCCCCTCCCATTCATCCCTCCATCGGAGGTATGCATGGAATGTGGCATTTAAGAAGGCAACTGAAAATAGCAGTCATTTCTCATCATCGTTATTAGAACTCTACTAATCTCTGCTTGGGAACCTGCAAGTGATATTGGTGTTGCCTTAAATTAATTAATTAAAGGAAAAAAGTGTAATGAATGTTTATGGGGCAGGGGCCCTTTTCTTAATAAACGGCGCTATTTTAAGAGACCTGCGTTTGAAACCATGGTGGCGATATCTGTTTTCCACCCAGAGCTCTTATCAGAGATGCATTTCTGGGGCTTCCGCAAACTTTGCTAACGGACCCAAGCAGTGGCCCAACAGCACCTGGGCTGGGAAATGTGACTTGATGTACGTTGCATGAGAAGTTTTTGGAAATGCAGTGAAACCAGGTGTGGGAGAAGGGGGGGGGGCTGTCGATACTGATTATATTCTGGGTGTTGGGAAGGGAGAGGAAAGTTCCCTTCTGAAGTAGAACATGTATGAATGGAGCATCCATAAATCCTTTGGGAAGGAAACTGGGTGGATGGGGTCCACCCAGTTTAAAGGTCCCCATCTCTAGGGTTTGTCAGGTTTACTACGTTCAAGTAAAGTGGAATGGTCTAAGTCTGGCAGTTTCGCAGCATTGGACCCTCAACACGGTCGCAGGCAGGTCAGAGCTGGACTGTGGGATTCTCGTCATTGTTCCCCCTCTTCCATCCTTGGCAATTCCAGCAAAGAAGAAGATGATGTCTGAGGGGTGGACTCACAAAATGGCTGCCGTTGGAGGTGTGGCCCATCCTAAAGCCCCTCCTACCCTGTCCCTTATGCTTGATAATGCTCTGGCATACCTTTTTCTTGGGCAGGTGGGCACCCTTTCTGGGTGGCACGCTGGTTGCCCGCAGTTGTTAATATTTTTAGTTTCCCAGATTGTTCATGGGGCTTGGCGGGGTCTGGAGGCGCACTTGAAAATTAAGGTAAAAGCAAGAGGCTGGTGCTAATCACTTGGCCCGGAGATGTCTGGAAGCGTGGTGTGAATCTGGCCCGTTGGGATACTTCGGTGTATCACGCAAGCCCCGAAAATGGATAAATTCAGAGATCAGGTTAAGGCTGTTCTGCAAACAGTCTCGCAGGGGGTTTAGGAAAGTGGCAGATTTTACATTTAAGTTTCGAAAGAGGATTCTTCATCCAGTAGACTTACCTAGATTTTAGCTAAGCTGTAGCTTTAGGATTAGCCTTATATGATTTATAGAAGATTACAGTTTCAGGCTGGCATTTCGTCAGATAAGTTACACATTTATCTTGCTTTATTAATTAGTTCTCCCCCCCCCCCCTTTGTCATTTAAACCTAATCATTATTCTATTTTACGCAGCATTATGATCTATGATTACAACAATAAATCTCAGTGGAGGTTTTGTTTGGCCTCTTCATTGCAAGGAGAAAATTTGTAAGTTATTTATAGGCAGCTGCATTTCGTAGGCCGGACTTCTGGGGTTGTAAAACGAGTATTTGGAGAGAAAAACAGAAGTAGGAATCAGTGGAAAGGAAGATTTCTCTCTCTCTCTCTCTCTCTCTCTCTCTCTCTCTCTCTCTTATTTCCAGAACAGAATTAAGTTTTCTAAAGTGCCTTTTGGCTCTTGCGCGCAAGGCATAAATCTCTTTCATTCTTGTTCAGCGTCTAGCGTTCTTTCCGTTGTAAATCCACGAGTCCTAATTTGTCAGCAAGTAAAATGGGGGGCGGGGGAAAACCATCCGAAAAATAAAATCCAGACCATCTTGGGCTGTGCAAGGTATTTTAAGTACATACCACAGAAATAATTAAAATGTCTGGCTTTGTGGTGGGCAGCTGAGCGAACCCACACAGCAGAAGGCGCATCTGAAGCAGTTTGTCTCTGGAGAGGCCCAAAGAAGGGCCTTTTTTGACCATTAATTGTTTTTGCTAGAATTGGGTCCAGCATTTTGTGGTATTGTAAAATTTATTAACTGCCACAATCCCAAAGGGCTTTTTTTTTTTTTTGGCTAGCAGCAGGGAAACCTCTTGGTGGCCGTTGTGGGGGGAAATAGGAGGGGGTGGGTGCCGTGCATACCCCCTTGAGCTGTGGGTTGAAAGGCAGGATACAGATCCAATAAAATAAATAAAATTGTGGTTGCACAAGGAAGAATAGAGAAAGTCATTTTTCTTCATCGTCTTCTCTTGCTTCAGCCGAGTCTTGGTGAGTATGATTTGACTGGGTTGCGGTGGCCATTCCTGGCCTGAACCATCTTGTGGCTAGTCCCCTGTGACTACTCCAGGTGACCAAGGAGAGACTTGTGCAGGTTTGGGTAAACAAGAAAACCCTCTGCGGTGTGTCTTTCCTGATTCGGTGTGTCTTTCCTGATTCATTGTGTTTCAGATGCTTTCCTTGTCTTTCTCTGCCTGAACAGACTCCCTTTCTCCAGCAGCATGTTAATTAGCAGTGATAAGAGAAACCTTAATCTCTCTTGATAAGGAGACCCGGGCAAGTTGAGTGTGAAATTGGATTAGCCTCAGATTCTTTTGAGGGCTGATTTTAGGGGAAGTCGTAAACCATTAAGGGAGGACAATGCATGCTGGCGTGTTGAGGATGGTATTTAGGCTAGAAAAGCTGACCAAGTACTTCCTGAGAGGAAGGATGAAAGGGGGATGAGCCAAGGCTGGGTAGAACATCTGAGCTCCACTGGATTTGGTCTTGGTAGCCTTTCTGGCCGTTTCTCTTCTTACAGTTGATGAACGTTGTTTGTTGAAGGTTCCCTGGGCTCAGTGAAGGTGAACGATGAAGGGGACTGGCGGTCCCTATGTGTTATTCTTGGAAATCAGGAAGTTTTCTATCAATGCCTGTGCATGAGAAGAGGGGACACCCCTGCGTGTCAAGGCTGGGTTTGTAAGACATCTTTGGCCGTGGTTTAATCCACTGAATGTTCTGGGCTAGTACCACACACCGAACCATAAACCAAGTATCTGGGCTTGGTTCCCATAACATGCTTGGCTAAACCGTGGATTGTGAGTTAGGCTGGTTGGTGACTCATTGGGTTGTACAGATACAGCCCCAGGAGCAGCCCCAGAAAAGACTGAAAAAAGGGGGCTGAAGAGGCAGAGAAAACTCAAAGGGCATCTTTGGGCTGGCAAGCTAATTAGATTCTTGAATAAATCAATAGTGCATTTTACATTAACTTTGGGAGGTTCAATAAATGGGAGAGTGTCCAGCACAGCCAGGAGGACTGCAAGTGTGCAGGAGGAACATTCAGAGTTTGTGTCTTGTGCCAGTAGAGATGGGAACCCTGTGCCCTGGGTTGTACCTGGCTGTGGGTCCCATGATATGTAGCAGCTTTTCTTCTGTTTTGGGGATCCCCAATTGATGGCAGGGAAGGAACGTGTTCCCTATCCACAGCCAGCCCAGGGCAGGGGTGATGTTGGTGTGCCTTGGCACAGTATTTTCAGGCATGGCATTGACCAGGTAACTAAGGCTCGGGGGGGGGGGATAGACTTTTCAAGATGAATGCAGCGTGGCTCTCAGCTGGAAGGAGAAGACGTTTGCACTGCTCAGATTATGTTTTGAAAATGGTAAAAACCCTTCTGTTCCTAATATTGAACTTGGTTGAATCTGGAAGCTGTGTTCT